TCTATCGAGTCTCGAACTACCAAGATTGAAAGGTTTAAATTTATGTATGAGTAGTTTATATACCATCATACATCTACAATTACATGTACATTTTGATATACGTTTTTAGATTATTTAACGAATAAAACCAATTGATTTTATTTTTAGCTGATATTATTTTCTAAGATTCCTTAAAACTCATGTTAAGAAGGTTTTTGTATTTTAATTTGCAAACTTACCTACCTAATGTACCTAGGTTTAATTTTCTTTGAAACTTTTGGCTGAAGGACACTTACCCCCTTATTACAAAACAAGATTTGTCTTAAGCCTAGATTTAAACCATTTACACCCGGTTTCCAAAAGGCCGATCAATGTTAAAATCAATTTAATCTCTTGTCAAGTCATCTGATTGGTTGACTGAATTATGAACAACCAATCATATGACTTGAAAAGAGATTTGACACCTAGTTAGTTGATTTTAACTTAGATAGGACTTTTGGAAACCGGGCATTAGTCAGGTTTTGTATTATAAAGCTTATTCTCACCTACCAATTTGAAATACAAAAACTCTGACTCAATAGTTTAGACCTAGATCAAAGATAAACCTGGTTTTGTAATAAGGCCTTAAAGGTCTAAATTTGAGATTTAAGTAGGTTAACAATTGTATATACTAATAATTATACTCTTTTGCTGTCGAATGTAACAATATTTACTAATAGGTACATATGTGATTTTTATTATAACTTTCGTGAGACATTCTAAATTATTTATTATGTTTTCGGCTTACTCACGTAATAATTAGACGAGATACTCGACTAGTTTCAAGCCATGCTAGAGGCCCATATTCATGAGCAGCATTCCGCGACACGCGACTCGGCGACTGTCGCGCTGCTACTGTAGCAGTGCAGGCCTCTAGCACGGCTTGAAACTAGTCGAGTATCTCGTCAAATTATTACGTGAGTAAGCCGAAAACATAATAAATAACAAATGTGATTTTTTTGCTATAGTTTATTTAGTTTACATAAAACTTCTAATTTATTGAATGATGGAGGAAGGATTGAGGCCAAAGGTATTGAAGGACCATTTATACCGCATTTTGGGTATTTTTGGTATAAATAGCTCTAAAATAACCTTTGATAAGTATTATCTCTGAGTAGGTATAATTTGTAACAGTTTTCTTTGTAGGTATATAAATCAATGATCGACATTAATTACCGATTTTAATTAAGTTTAAAGTTACTTATATCCTACTAATACATATTATTAAATGTGAGAATGTATGGATGTATTTTTTTTATGCTTTCACGCAACGGCTGCACCGATTTGGTATCGAGATAGGTGATAGGGATTAACACGGACTTTATCAACAAACCACGCGGACGTTAGCTGGTAAAACATATGTTCTGATTTAATTCGTGTCCAGCAACAAAGACTTTTTTTTATAGTATAAGTCGGCAAATGAGCAGACGCATTACCTGATGGTAAGCAAACGGCGCCGCCCATGGACTCCCGCAACACCAAAGGAGTTACGAGTGCGTTGCCGGCCTTTTGGGATATACGGGTTGCAGATATAAGGATTGGGAAGGGATAGGGGAAGGGCCTCCCCTTCCCCTATCCCTTGGGGATGGGGATGGGGCCTCCGGTAACCTCACTCGCACGGCGAAACACAACGCTGTGGGTTGTTTCACGCCGATGAATCACGTTCCGGATGAATCACGTCCCTGGACCACTCCGGACTTCAGTGTTTCGGTTTTTTCTTGGTTATAGGATTTGCAGCCATTAAAGAAGTTGTATATATATATATGGTTTTTAATTTCGGATATAATAATTATGATACGGTAGTTTCCAACTAATCAAATTCAATACTTTTATCCAAATGTCAAAAACGATCCTTTTCTATGAAAAACTGAGTTATGACGTCATAATATTTTTGTGTCAAATAACTTATTTCTTATTAATTAGCTAAAAAATATCTTAAACGTAGTGTATCGATCGATCGATGAATAAAAGTACCTACACTAATTTTTCAATATTTTATTGTATTGAAACGTCGAATTAATTTATTTTTGACCTAGGAAACTACCCAGTTATATATTATACTGATCTCTATTGAGGGAATAAACTTTTCTGTGCAGACCTAAACTTTAAATAAATAAGGAAAAATAACAAAAGCCAATATTTTTAAGTATAAACATAGGAATTGTATGACCATGTAAATTGTATATTTCTTTAGCAAGTACCTAAATATAAGAAGAAATAAATAAAATATTATTTGTTTTATTTCATTATACTTTTTTCAGCTTTTTTGGTATGTAGGTATGTATAGATATGTTTTGATATAGGTATTATAATAATAAAGTATTGTTTTTACATATAGGTATATTGAACAAGATTAAAATCTATTAATCAGATTGTAAACTGAACTTAATAACCCACTATCTCTGCATTACCTAAAGGTGGACGAAAATGCCTTTCTTTTTTTAAGGAAGGTAAATAACCAAACCTGTCCGGTGCGCCAAAGAGCCAATAGACCCCGACTGAGGGGCCCTACAGGCCTCATGTTCAGCCGGGGTTGGGGCAAGCTCAATGTGGCAACGCGGCCTTGATTTTCACCTGAAAAAACTATTATTAACTTAAAAAACCCCACTTTTCAATTTTAAATCATGTCTTGTGAGTCTGACAAATTATTATCTTCGGTAGTAGATGAGATTTTTGCTTTATAAAATTGGACAGCAAATAAAACGATTTAAGACCTGGAAGTGGCCTTTTGAGGGGTTAGGGATTAAATGATTCGAGGAATCGATGAAGGAAGGGCCTCACTCACCCGGCAAAACATAGGTAATGCAAGTGTTGTTAAACGCCGGCTTTCTGCGAGGCCGTGGTACCTATAACTCCGTACGTGCAGAAGCATGGCTCTCTTACATTTAAAATGTCTCAAAGTCAATGAAGCACAAAGTCTATTAGTTTTTGTTTGATAACAAAAATAGGTAGGTACCTTCAGTGCCCACGCTCAAACTGGATAAAAATTGGCTACAGCTCCCCCTTTCTCTTGAAATCCAAATAAAAACTAATATAATGCGTATTATTAAATAAGAACTGGTCAATTATTTTGTGTACTTACATAATTATAATAGGTAAGCTTGTACATGCAAGCTAATGCATTTTTATAGTTCCAACTTTTTAAAAAAAGGATTAAACCTTTTATTTCTTTAAAGTACAATGTATAGTAGGTGCATTACATATTTTCATATAACTGATCTATCTTAAAATTTTAAATTGATGACGAAATGATTTTTAATGTGGATTTTTTATAATCAATACTAAAATAGTTTCGCGCCAAAATCTTTGAAACGGAAACCATTCTGTTTTTTTTGTAGTTTATAGCCTGAATACAAGTCCTTTAAGCCAAAGAAAACCGTTATGCCGACTGCCAAAATGTTGCCAACGATCAAAATTTCGTTATTACGATCCTTTTTTCTGCAGTAGATTAAACAAAAGTACAAACCGTTTCATTGAAATTGTAATATTATTGCAACACTAATTATATTCAAAGAAATTATTACAATATTACTACAGTTATCAAAACACATATACCTATCACACGTTTTACACGACTACCGTGATTTTTGGTTGAAATTAAAGAACTGATAGAAATCTGAAACTAAACCTATAACTTTTCATAAACATTCTAGCAAGTATAATTTAATCGATATAGGTGATATGCATTTTGTTATTTCATAATTTATTACACCACCAGGCAAGATGAAAGTCAAAAAGTAGAGAAATTGGTGTTGCGGATGTCCATGGGCGGCGCCGATCGCTTACCATCAGGTGACCCTTTTTTTTTCCTTGTAATAAACTAGTGCTTGACTGCGATCCCACCTGATGGTAAGCAGTGATGCAATCGTTGATGGTAAGGCGCACTAGTTTATTAAGAGCCTATTTACTCTAGCCTTGAAGACACCTAAATTGTATTCGGACGGAAAGACAAACCGCAAAGAAAGACAGACCGCAGCCGGCAAACTGTTCCAATCCCTCGATGTACGCGGTATAAATGACGAGGCAAAACGCTTAGTCCGGGCCGCAGGTGTCTCAACAACGTAGGGGTGGATATTCGCCGTACGCCGGGATGTCTGAAGGTAAAATTGGGATGGCGGAATCAAATCGTGCAATTCCTGGGCACACTCTCCAAAATGCATCCTGTAGAAAACCGCAAGGCTGGCTACTCTGCGCCTGTGCTCGAGACTTTGAATACTGGACCCAACCAAATCTGGATCTCCAATCAGTCTCTTTGCACGCCTTTCCACTGAATCCAAATCCTTCATCTCGTTTGCCTCCTATTCTATAAAAAAAATATTAGAATTGATATCCAAGTGATAGTAATTTGAAGTATATTAAACAAAATTCAATCGGTTGGACATCGATTAAATGGGGTGAGTTGTTCAGTTGGGAAAAATATTAAATATATTTAAAAATGAAAGTGATACTTCATTCAGATATATTCAATCTAAAGTTGACTAAACAATTGATTAATAAAAAATATCGCCTTTTCTTGAAATATATAAATAAATAAAAATAAATAAACAAAAAATTAACAGATATGTTATAAGCGCGCAAAAGTGAAGACTCGAAAAGGATACAATTGTATGCAAGTGCAATTAGTCTCTCTTAGAATAATGTTTATTTACGTTGAGTACGTAATTGATAACAATACCTAATTCGTTTTTTCTTGTTTTATTTATCGTACTATCCTTTTTCTACAATTTTAACTTGTAGTGATATGTACAATTAATGAAAGGTATGTGAGTGTGCTGACGCTTGGCGCGGAACACATTTTTCTTGCGTTTTTGAGGGTATAACATATCTGTGTTAATATAATATCATTGAACAAAAATACAATAATTTTATACTTCCAGTCGATTAGTATGTTTTTGTTACTATAGACAATATGTAATAGAGAACAAACTAACCGGAAACATTTACAAAGCGCCTCCAGTGGAGGAAAGAAGTACTAGGAATAGGAAATGTTAAAAACGTAATGGTGGCTGCTTGCGGTCCATTCCATTGCTGACAACATTATTTATAAAACCGTGTGAAAACCTTCAAAAACTAAAATTTTGCCCGAAGATTGTTGGAATAAACGATCAGGTATGTGGATTTTATGATCATTTCATATGATTTTTAGCTTTAATTGCGATTGTATAATATGTAGATTAACAAAATGGCTGCTGCATTACATGAAATAGTAACGAATACCATTATTCTTTCACAAAAATTTTAGTTATACACGTAAAGTATTAGTGTTTTTGAAATTATCAGTGACTGATAACGATGTAAACAATGAGTAAAACTTTTGTTTTTTAAATAAATTTCTATTTATTACTGGGTAAGGGCTTAAAAATTTAATAAGTATTACATTACAGATATATAAATACCGGATTTGAAAATAGTATATAATTCTAAGTACTACAAATTCTCAGTTCTAATTCAAACTTCATAATACTCGGCTACAAATTTTATTTTTACGAAAGTCGTTAAAACTTTTGTACATTCCTTAAATTTTTGTCATTATTATTTTTTTTCTTCTTCAATTACATTTTTATAACCCTGAAAGACTAATATTTGCCCGTAATTATTGCTGCATGTTTGAAGTACAAATAAAATATCAAACAACAAAAATAAAATTGGCAATATAAGAAATTGAGATAAAACATACTATTAAAATGGATGAACTCGTCTTTGGGAATTGGTTAGACCATATTTATATTATAAAAAATTAATGCCACTTTTCGTTGTAATGTTATGACTCAAAAATGCATTTACCAATTTGGCTAATTTTGAAATCCTAATTTGGAAGTCCAGAAAAGTCCAGTCAGCTTTTTAGTTAGAGAAAAATGTCTTGAAAAAGTGTAAAATCGACATACACGCGGGCGACTTCCAGTATATCAATATAATCAACTGGTTTAGATACATTTAGTCAGCGGCTTCAACTACATAAGTACCAGGTCTCTCTCAAAAGGAGGTTTACGTGTTATTCCAGACTATGATCAATATCTATGCCAAACTTAATTCAGATCTGTTCAGTAGTTATTACAAAAAAGTGTAACAAACTTGAGAATGATGTGAGAATTAATGTAAGTTGCCTATAATAATTAGAAGATTGTAATCAAATAACTTTTTTTATTGTTGTGAGGAACATTTATATTAGATTATTAATAAGTTTTAAACACTAACAACGATAAGAAATATTAATTGTCGTTAATAACAAATCCTAGGAAGACAACTCAAAAGATGGGAAGACGAGTTAAAACTTACAGCAGGCCCTTACTGGAGAAGGGTTACCAGAGATAGGATACAATTGAAAATGTTAGAGGAGGCCTTTGCCAGAAGGCACACTGAACTAAGGGATATCCTATAAAAGAGGAAAACAAATACCTCACACACAACAGATGAAGTTCAGGATAAAGAGCTTATTGATTGAATAACAAATAAAATAATGTTTCAGTTCAAAAACAATTCGAAAAAAAATATACTGCTTAGTAAACTAGCATAGGTATTTTTTAACCAACTTCAGTAAAGGAGGCACTTCTCATTTTCAAGATAAACTAAAAGGTCTATTCTATTTTTCTTGAAAACTACTGAATGGATGTGAATGTAATTTGGCATAGAGATAGATTATAGTTTGTAATAACACATACCAATATTCTTTTTATTACAATAATGTAGATGATGCCGCTGGTAGAAACTGGTTTAAATAAATCATTTTACTTTAATGTTTTTTTTTTATATTTTCAGTATGAATCAATGTTGCTTTATTTGCAACAATAGAGCATCGCTGGCCCTCAAAAATGCTATCAACCTCTTTGGAGAAGACGTAAGTGTTACAATAATAACTTAATTGATCCTTTTATTTTTAAGGGTATTCAATATAAAGCAATTGAACTTTTTACCGAGTATAGATAAGTATAGTGGATTTTATTTATACATAAATTTGCCACATGCGATGCATTTCCCATTCACTGAGAATTATAATTTAGTTAGAGAGAAATTTAATTTAATTAGAATTTGATGTTTTTAATGCTGAACTTTTTTCCTTGTGTCTCCAAAGGATGTGATGCTGGCATACCTAGCTCTTCCTATTAATTTTAATTAAACATACATTATTATTTTTTTTTAATTTTTTATTATTTATAATTCAAAAATTTCATGCTTGCTTCTTGCATCTGCCATTGGTATTCTTCTCTGCATCACCCAAAGGTCAGACTGGTAGAGAATGCTCAAAGCATTAAGTCCACCTTGTGTACAATATCTTGTGCATGAAGCTTATAATAAAATAATATATAAAGTACTTACGCCTGATTTTTCAGTGGGAGTGTCAGACTCTTACTGACTAATAAAAGTGTGTTTAAAACCAACCAGTTCCTTCTTCTATGATAGTGTAGTGCGCTTGACCCACAAACCTCGACTAAATGGGTTTCCTAAACATTTTGGATTAAGGTCATCTTCTACTTCATCTTGATCATATGGATAACAAATACCTACTTTTCTAACTATTAAACTTTCATGTTTACAAGATATATTTACGCGAGTATTAACGTGAAAAATAGCTATTTAAATAGGTACCATGGTAGGCTTGACGTTTCGACCTAGTTGCACAGGTCGTGGTCGCCACCAGACTGAAGATGCGATGTCACATTTCATTTTCCTTTTCTACCATATCAGGCCGTCTACACATCACGCTGACCGTATCCACAGATGTGTTGACCGACTTTGAAGGAAAGCGAAGTTGTGTTATGCAATGCAAATCACTGGATTCCACGTCGACGACAATTTAAAGCCGTCCTCTATTATTTGGGCATTTTGTTTCAACCGCTTCACGCACAAGTCTTGTATGGAAGTGGCGACTTCAGATCAGTGAAGACTTGACGTTTCGACCTAGTTGCACAGCTCGTGGTCACAAGCAGACACACTAGAGACCTATAAATATAATATGTTGTAAATACCTACTTTTGTTTTCAGAGCAAATTTCCCTCAGGAAAGAAAATTTCAGAAGTTCTAAGCGAGATAGTTGGAAAGCCTGTTCAAGATAAAAAAGTGCATACTGATATTTTATGTAAGAAGTGCTGGAAAAGCTGTAACGATTATGATACCACTCGCATCAGGTATGCTTTTTTGTAGACTCGCTGACTTAGCAAATTTTGTTCTGCCTCAATACTTATTAACTAAAGTTTTCTGACCTTTTAAACTATTACTGGACTTCTTTATATATGTATGAGCCTCACTCATGCGCCGAATTAAGGGAAGTGGATACTCTGCCCTATCTGAGTAGCAAAATAGTAATGTCTATTGGTACAAGTGCATACAAATATGGCATCTATTTCAAAAAAGTTAGCGTTTTAAATAGAATGAATTTGTTACAGCGCCATCTAGCATTGAGTGGCTGAACCCGTTTTAAATTGTTTTATTTAAGTTTTTTACACGATAGACGCCTTTATTGATTGTGAAATGTGAAATGATAACAACTTTCGCTCATTGTTATTAGACTCAATTTTTAACAACATTTAGATAATTCGCATAAGATGATTTGCTAAAGTTTATTTCAACTTTTTACCCAATCATATAGCTGTTTTTTATGTGTGTAATGGACAATTTGATTTGCGAATGTGTGATTTTGGCGACACTGGTTTTCCTTTTGAAAGAGTGTAGGGGCACTTCTACTTTATTTTCTGTTCTGTGTGCCAACAGAATCCTAGGGATGATCGCTGAAAGCCCAAAGTCACCAGTGTGGTATAGGTTTATAAAACTCCATGTTTTGTGAAAAATTCTGTTTTATTTTATTTTTAATTAAGACTGTGTGGCATTTATTATTATTGTGTTTTTTTTTAAATTGCCTCCTTACTTTATTTTTTTGTAATGATTGATTTTGATTGACTTATTTATTGAATAGATTTGAATTTACTATCATAGCATACTAGACATTTAAATTAGTCTGAAATAAATTTATTTTATTTTATTATTTTTATAATATTAGTATAGATATGGTCATCTCTGTCCCGCCCTTAAGGCATGCAACAATAAAGTTAAAAGAAGTTACATGAAATACAATATTTAATTTTTTTTTTGCTTGACGTTCAATAGTGCCTCTTGTGGTCTACTTGAAATAAAAAAAAATATTTAATTTATCATGACTCTTGAAGACTATATTCGAGTAGTGATACCTCTGAAAAGAATTCTTTTATAGATTAGTAGTAATATATATTATTAGTAGTAGTAATAACAGATCATGGTAAACATTTTTAACATAAACTCGTGTTTACAATGAACTATTTTTGTTTCTATTTCAGATTAGAAACAATAAAATCGGAATTACTAGGACAATTCAAATCAACGATAACAGCTTACAAATTAGATTATGAAAATTATGAAAAAAATGAATATGGGACACCTCAGAAACAGAAATCGGTTGTGGGAAAGAAATTGGTGTTGCCAGCCTCAAAATTACAACCTATACCCCCGGATTTGTTACTAAAAGTTGGGAAATTAGCGGCTTTTTCTAAACCTAATATTATTTTACCACAAATAAAGGTAAGTATTTTTTTTTCTTTATGTTGTCAGCTAGGGTTACGGGTCAAGCCCAATAATGTGCCGCCGCAGGAAAAGCGACGGGGGTGGTTTTTAGCCAGTAAGAGTCTGACACTACCTTCCGTCCGATCCAGGGCGGGAGAAGTTTTTTTTATGTCGGAATACGAGCATACTCATTACCTGATGGTAAGCAATCAGGGCCACCCATGGACACCCGCAACGAAGGAGTTACGAGCGATACCACGGCCTCACAGAAAACTGACGTAAAACCACCATAATGTTGTGTTTCGCCGTGTGCGTCCGGTTATCGGAGGCCCAATCCTTCCCCTTCCCCAATCCCTAAATCTCCAAATCCCTAATCCATAAAAGGTCGGCAACGCACTCGTAACTCCTCCGTTGCCTACATAAAAAATGAGGGATTTTCTTTTTTAACAAAAAATGATATTTTTCTACAGCAAACTCACCTATCAATATTTTTTCTTTCAGCCAGTTACAGCCTCAACTTTAAACTTAAAAGTAACAGTCGGATCCTCAGTTCTAACTCAAACAATAAAAACAACAACGGCCAAACCTATAGAAAAACAACAAATTGACACAAATTCCATATTAAATTCTCTATCGAATGCATTGAAAGATGATATAGACAGTTTGACAACGGCCGATGAGAAATCCATAATCAATTTTGATATAAATTCTTTACCAAAAGACTTTTTGTCAGGAACAGTTTTGAGGAAGATGAATGAAAAAGACAATGGGAAAAGTAATAACATAACTGATGATCATCCGATGGAAATTGATGAAGGTAAGTTTGAATTAGTTTATTGATGACGGAACAACTCTTTGTGTGATCTACAAATTGTTGTTCCAGGTCTGGGTGTGATGTGTAAACGCACCCTCTACACAGGAGAAAACCCTAGTATATAGATATTAATATATCAATGTTAGGTAATAAACTAAATTTAAATAATCTTTGTATGTATAAATAACCTCAATCAAACGGCGAAACACAACGCTGTGGTTGTTTCACACCCGTTTTATGTGAGGTCGTGGTATCACTCTGGTCGAGTTGACCCATTCGTGCCGAAGCATGGCTCTCCCACACTTAAACGCAGTGTCTCCCAACACAGGTATCACTTGCTTAAAGGGAGTCGCCAATCACAAATTAACTTTATGTAAAAATTGTAAAACTAAATAAAACCTTTTGTATTTTAATTGTACTAATTTACTTTTACCACTTTTACAGATTGTCTATCAGTGGTTCCGGTCACGTCAGCGGGTAATGGGCTTCTCTTACAAGTGGAGAGCTTACAGTCCACTCCCCGGACTGAAGGGACACATTATTTGGACATCGACCCCCTGGACATTTCCGGGGGTAATTCAGACTCCCAGAAATATATACTTGGCAAGCTACAAATGCTAAACGAACAGGAGGATGATGATGATGATGAAGAAGGCCGTATGTATTTATTTTTAGTATTTTTTCAATCTTTATTTAAAAGAGCTTATTTGCAATTACAAATATAACGCTTCGAACTAAGAAAAATAAATTAAGATTTTTCAAAAAGAAGAATTAAGGCAAAGATGATCTCCGCCTTAGACCCTCTTTAACTAAACTAATGAGTGCCTTAACTCTTTCACAAAGTGGAGACGATAGTAAATTTATATAAAATCCTATATTGTAACATTCTTTACCAAAAAAATCGACGTTTTAACTCGTTATTCCGAGCTCATCCCGCTAAAATATGTATATTATGATGTACATATTCAAGTTTACCGCAAACATAACATTTCGGAGAATCGATAGTGTGGCAAACGAGCCGACGGCTTGCTTGACGGTAAGCAATCGGTGTCGTCCATATACCTCAAAATCAGAGGGGTTACGTGTATTGCCTACCTTAGTTAAAGGTGACTGATTTGATTCACGACACAGGAGAAAAATAGTTGTTTTTAAAGATAATGTTTTTAAATTGGTAGCTTTGGTAGTTTGGTAGTTTCCTACGTCAAATATAGGGTTGAGTTGAGGAAATAAAATTAAGTTCGGTTAACAAACAGCAGGTGAGGAAATAATTCATAAGAATTATTTCCTCACCTGCTGTTATTATTATAGTTTAGGAGATATGTGCTGCCTGAAGGTGTAAGCAGGACAGAATAAAGGCGAATGCAAACATCTCAGTGAGGGTTGGCTGGCCACTTAGGCACTTATAATAGTGGCGTGAGAAACATAAGTAGATTTATTTTTTTATTCAAACACACTCTATAATTTATTTTGACTTTTAAATAAGTGTGGGTGATCCATGCTTCGGGTCGATACCACGGCCTCACAGGAAACAGGCGTGAAACAACCACAGCGTTGTGTTACGAGTTAGTACTATAGTTACTCCAAATTCTTAACTCCTAAAATGTCGGCAACGCACTCGTAACTCCTTTATTGATGCCAAGATTGTTAACATTTAGTTATTTACCAAAACCAATAGACTATCATCTGCAGGTATTCAGAATAACTAACTGCCTTTTGCAACATATAGTCGAAATATCTATCGCTAAGTTCTCAGAAGCAAGGAAGTGAAGAAATGGTTTGTAGATTGTTGCCCAAGAGTTCGAAAATTTTTTCAAGAATATCCCCATTAAAACTACGAGAGACTTAGAATCATCTCCGGCGCTTTCTATTAGTCTTCTTAAAAGAAATGTTAAAGAATGCCGTTCTGGCTTCCGATTTCAGTACACGGACCCGCAATCAGTAATAAAGGCGTTTAAAGACATAAAAGTTAAGTCTACAGAGGATCTATGGGGAATGTCTGTTGCGGTGTGTAGGTCTTTTATAGAAGCTATAGCGCCTTATTTATCTTTAATTTTTAATAGAAGTGTAGATCAGGGAGTTTTTCCAAATTTGATGAAACTTAGCAAGGTAGTTCCGTTGTTTAAATCTGGCGATGACAATGATCCCAATAATTATAGGCCGGTATCAATTTTACCAGTGCTTAGTAAGGTGTTTGAAAAGCTAATGCTTTCTCAGATGCTACGACACTTTAACATAAATTCCATCTTTCATGACCAACAATATGGGTTTACCAAGGGTCGATGCACAACTGACGCCGGTGTAACTCTAATTAAGCATGCTTTTGCCTCATGGGAAAAGTCAAACGACGCTATTGTGATTTTTTTGCTGTCTGGAAGATCCGACAGCTAACAGATGTGGACACTGCAAGACTGGTGTACTTCAGCTACTTTCATAGCATTATGTCGTATGGCATCTTGTTGTGGGGACAGGCTGCTGACATTGAGTCTATCTTTGTTTTGCAAAAGCGTGCCATCAGAGCTATTTACAACCTAAAGCGTCGTGAGTCTCTTAGAGAAAAGTTTAGAGAGATCAATATTATGACCGTGCCATGTCAGTTTATTTATGAAAACATTATGTATGTTAGGAAAAACTTAAAAATATTCGATAAGGTGTCAGATAGACATAATTATCAAACTAGGCATAGAGATAGATTATGTCAGCCATTATTTAGATTGGCAAAGGTACACAAGTCGTTCATGGGATTCTGTGTTAAATGTTATAACAAAATCCCAGGCGAAATACAACAATTAAATGAAAGAAATTTTAAATTATGTGTAAAGAAAACTTTATGTAGGAAAGCATACTACACATTGAATAATTACATTATAGATAAAGATGCTTGGAGACATGCTGGTCCTGCTCCACAGGATAGCAAACCTACACCAAAATAAATAACGTTTCAGTGGATTTTGCTTGAACGGGACTTCTTCATTTTAGTGAAATTGCATTATATTGTATAACTATAACTTGATAAATTTGTAAATGTGAGTGCCCTGTAACCTATTACAATTGTTTAGACTAGCAGAATGTCGGTCCTTATAACAGCTTGGAGTTGTCATGCTCACTGAAAGGTCACACTGGCGGTGGCATGGGCGCTGGATCGCTTAATTCCCTATAATATGGTTGAGTTGGGCGATGCTGGTGTACGTGTCATGTTCGTGAACGGGCGCCGTCAGTTGGGACTGGTCAGCTCCAGACTGTCTATTGTCCTTAAGGTTACTTTATTTTTATATTTGAATAAATATTAGTTTTACACTGTTCTCACATAATTGAACCAACTGTTTGTAAAAGGAATCTGTATGTGAAACTGATTTAAAAAGAGTAACCATGGAGTTTCTTGCTCGTTCTTCTCCATCGGAATCTACACTTTGGAACGAGCAAATAGCTTCACTAAGAGGACTGACCGACAGACTGACACTATATCTTCAAAATTTTGTTTTGACGTTCAAAAGTGCCTGTAAAGGTCTAATTGGAATAAATGATTTTTGACTTTTTTTGACTTTTGAGATGATCCCTTATTACCATTTACAGATACAATCGTGGTGGACAGTGAGAACGGTTCGATACTGCGAATGGTAACGGGTCAGAAGTTTATATACGAGGGCGGCGAGATATCCTTGGTAATGCCTGATGATGATCAGGTCGAAGGCAACGGGGAACAGCAAGACCATGGTGATAGTCAAGGTATGTAACTAAATAATGTACCAAAGAATCTTTATGTCAAACTGATTTAAGAAGAGTAACCGTGGAGTTTCTTGCTCGTTTTTCTCCATCGGAATTTACACTTTAAAACGAGCAAATAGCTTCATTAAGAGGATTGACCGATAAAATGACTTCATATCTTAAAATTTTGTTTGACGTTCAAAAGTGTCTGTAAGTTTCTAATAGAAATATGTAAATGATTTTGACTTTTGACTTCTGATCATTCAAAGTCAAAATCATATATTTCAATTAGGCCACAGTTGGCACTTTTGAACGTCAAGCAAAAACAGAAAAAGAAAATATATTCCAAGAGGTTTGACTTTATGCGTGTCAGTCTGTCTGTCTGTCCTTTATTTGCTCGTTCCAAAGTGTAGATTCTGATGAAGAACGAGCAAGTAACTCCATGGTTACTCTTTCTCAATCAATATTTATTAGCTTAGCTAGAGTATCAATGTTACTTTGTCGAAGTTAAATGTACCCTTTTGTTTGGGAGCCGTTAAATGGCATTTACCGCCTTGGGTGGGGCGAGAGAGAGTCTCAGACTCTTACTGACTAAAAACCACTCTGTTCCGTTCAAGCCGGCTGACAAGTACAATAGGTCTTGCATCATCTAAGATTATTTAGACATCACTGTTAATTTTCATCGTGAAAAACAGTGTAAAAACTCGTTTAGTAGTTTTTGAGTTTATCACTTTCATATAGGCAGATGTGTAAAGGAAACTTACTTAAAAATAAAATCATCAACGTAATCGTCTGCCTATTATCAGTGCCTACTCCTGGATAAATGCCTCTTCACACAGAGAGCGCGCTTGAAAGGCGAATTGGCGATTTGAAACTTAAAGAAATTATAAGTCCAGTTTCCTCACTATCAGCCGGGGTTGCGGGGTAAGCGCAATGAGGCACCGCGACCTCGGCACAGAGCAGGAGAAGGAACAGGGGGGTTTTTAGTCAGTAAGAGTCTGACACTCCCTCCTGCCCGGCCCTGGGCGGGAGAATAAGTCACTGGATGATTTTCCCCTGACAAAAAAAAGGTTTCCTCACTATCTTTTTCCTTCACCGTCCTCAATGGTGTCTGAATAAGCTAACAAATACATACCTACTTATAACTCAGGTTAAATCACATTGATATTTGCCATGTTTCGGACCCCTATTTTGACGTGTAAAAGTGCCGTTTTATGGCCTATTTGCAAAAATTAATTCATTGTTTCATATATGCATAATAAATGGTCGCACTAATCTCCGGGGCTCCACGACCTGACTAAACCTTCGTTATTTTAGTTGATAGACAGGTAGACTGTAGCTAGTTTCTTATTTTCTTGTTCTGTTGCCAGATTCCAATGATGAGTCGCAAATAGAGTTGCAAGTGTCGGGGGATGAAGAAACTGCGAACGCCATCATAGCGGCGGCACAGGAACAAGGTAACTCAAGGAACACTGTGCTCTATTTCTATATTAGCTTTTGCCCGCGGCTTTGCCTGCCTTGTATGTTGATAAAAAGTAGCCTATGTCCTATTCCGGATTGTATACCGCACCGACCCTGCAGTCACTCAGATTTTAACTTTTGAGAGAGCCATGCTTCGGCACGAATGGGTCGGCTTGACCGAAGTATTACCAAAGCCGTACAGAAAACGGCATGAAACAACCATACAGTTGTTTCGCCGTGTGTAACTAATCCATTTCTTACCCCAATCCCTCTCAAAATCTCCAAATCCCTAATCCCCAAAAGGTCGACAACGCACACGTAACTCCTCCGTCGTTACAGTTGTCCATGGGCGGCGATTGCGGTTTCATTAGGTTTTTTTTTATGTGATAGGTCGGCAAACGAATTACCTGATGGTAAGCAACCCGCAACGACGGAGGAGTTACGAGTGCGTTGTCGACCTTTTGGGGATTAGGGATTTGGAGATTTTGGGAAAGGGACCGGATTGGGGTAGTGGAAGGATTGGGCCTCCTCTAACCTCACTCACACGGCGAAACGCAACTCTTTGGTTATTTCACGCCGGTTTTTTGTGAGGCTGAGACTCCGGTCGAGCCGACCCATTCGAAGCATGGTTCTCCGACACATTAAAGGTTATACGTTTGGTCACTTGCCGACCTATCATATAAAAACAATCTATTTATTATTATGTATATTTACTAGGTGGAGCGTTTATAAAGGTGGAGTCGGGCGAGATGTTCCGCGTGAAGTCAGTAAGTAGCGCGGCGCGGCCCGCCACCCCACTGCAGATAGTCGCGCCGCAGGGAGACAAGTTCAAGTGTCTACTCTGCGAGAAAAATGGTAAGTATTATCACTATAAAGTTGGTTTAGACTTCAGACGAACATACTCAACATTAAAGACGAAAAAGTTTTATTGACTTAATTATGTGTGGGAGAGCCATGCTTCGGCACGAATGGGTCGGTTCGACCGGAGTGATACCACGGCCTCACAGAAAACCGGCGTGAAACAATCAGTGTTTTGTTTCGCCGTGTGAGTGAGGTTACCGGAGGCCCAATCCTTCCCTAATCTCTCCCCAGTTCCTAAATCTCCAAATCCCTAATGCCTAAAAGGTCGGCAACGCACTCGTAACTCCTCCGTTGCGGGTGTCCATGGGCGGCGCTGATTGCTTACCATCAGGTAATCCGTCTGCTCGTTTGCCGAACTACTACATTAAAAAAAATATATGATTAAGTAGACTTTGATAGACTTGTCGTTGACTGACTTTTTACTGATTTGACTTTACATATGTAATGCCTTGGATGGACATGGACTACGCTGTTATGACTTGAATTTGACAAAATGTACTTTAATTTTTCTGACTTTATATTGAAATTGACTTTATTCTGATTAATATTACTTGATATTTCTGTGTGTCTATTGAGAATTGTTCCTTTGCAGGAACAGACCAGGACCTGGTAAGCGAAGCTGACGAAATGATGCGACATTTGAAGACCGTTCACGACGCTCGCATCTACTTGTGTCGGTTCTGTGGCGCTGTTATGAGGAAACGTAACGAATACGCCACTCATATAGGTAATAATATCTCACACATCACATCGGCTTACTTATATTATTTTTTTTTTTTGTTTTTTTTAAACGTTGCCCCACACAAGGTCTTTCTCCTGTGTCGTGGATGCGTTTACAAACATACACTTTCATATACACATGACACCCAGACCCGAAACAACAATTTGTGGATCACACAAACTGTTGATCCGTGCGAGAATCGAACCCGCGACACGTCGCACGGCAGCCAGTTGCCCAGCCACCGCGCTAACCTGTCAGTAGTAGTTTCTTGCTCGTTCTTCTCCATCGGAATCTACACTTTGGAACGAGCGAATAGCTTCACTAAGAGGACTGACCGACAGACTGACACTTTGTATCTTTAAAGTTGTGTTGACGTTCAAAAGTGCCTGTATGGGTCTAATTGAAATAAATGATTTTGACTTTTGACTTTTGAGTAGCCGCCAACCATATTATAAATGAGAAAGGTACGATGTTTGGATGTTTGTTATTTAATCACGCCAAAACGGCAAGATTGTCATAGAATACACTACGGAATAGGACAAAGGCTACTTTCTATCAACATACCACGCGGGCAAAACTGCGGGTGAAAGCTAGTCAGCGTATAAGTGGCCACTGCTGAGCAAAGGCCACTTCTCACACGGAGAAGGTTTGAGTATTTATCGCGCGCTTGCTCAAGGCGGATTGGCGATTTCAAACTTATAATAAGAAATTATAAGTCCAGGTTTTCGCACGATGTTTTCCTTCAACGCGTGTCAGTGGTGTCTAAATAATCATATAAAGTACATATGGCTCGGAAAAAGTTACATTGGTACTTGCCAGGTTTTGAACCCTACTTATACATCATACCGTTTCCATAATTTTACTAGCTGCCCCGAAAAAATTTGATATTTCGAAAAAAATGTTGAGGCGAAGAACCCTTGTCATAGGGGTATGAAAATTAGGTAGTAGCTGATTCTCAGACCTATTGAACATGCTAATAAAATTTATTAAAAATCAGTAAACCCGTTTCGGAGGAGTATAAGGTAAGCGCTATTGGCGACGATCGCTACTGGTCAGAGTTATAAATGAAGAACTCGCTAGTATAATGTAATATTAAGAATGCTAATATAAAACAATGCATTTATTTTGTAAATAGGCCATAAAACGGCACTTTTACACGTCAAAATTATATGTGAAAAACTAGATGAAGCCGGCTTTTCCTATCTGACTACTCTGAGAAGAAATGCCGAAACAGACTCAGAGGTCAGTTTCTTTTCAAGTCCAGACAATATAAAATAACATAATGTGAGAGAACCGTGCAAGTTCATTCTGTAGTGGTCTTTTGAGGAAAGAACCACACCAGTTTAAGTGGACCCGTTCTGAAGACAGGCACGCAAGTGTCAGTTTGCAACCAGTATAGCTAGTGCTGTTGAGTTGTCCGACGAACAATACCGATCAAAAGAACATTTGGGTGGGTCGACGCCGACGGTACATACTACAAGTCTCCTCTCCTACAGAATCCTGGATTTCAGACACGCGATGACGAACGAATCGTTTTTATTGGTTTGACGAAGTAACTAGCCACCTCAAAACGAAAATAAATAAATAAATAAGACATTTATTCAGCACAAACAATAACGGACACAAATTAATCGACAAATAAGTGGGTACACAATAAAAATTTATACGACAAAAACACAGAAAAAAATGACGTATAAGACGGGTAGTACGAAAAAAAGAACATAAAGAAAGAGAAAAGTTTTTAAGTGTGGGAGAGCCATGCTTCGGCACGAATGGATCGGCTCGACCGGAGTGATACCCTCAGAATACAGAACAAACCAGAAGGCGTCAACGCGCTTCAAACTGAAGCAACTCAAACCACTATTAACTAGAGTAGTTTGAAATTTCCACGATCATTGTGAATGATGATTGTGAAATTGACTATTTTGGCACGTGGCATGTCGTGACGTATTTACGAGTATCAATTTTAATTTCATTATGCCGTCCTGTGTTATTCCTACGAGTAAAATTGCGGCTGGAATTACGAAAAAAGTGGATAAGATTACATTTCATCTGTAAGCATAGACTGCAATAGCATATTTAATTAATTATTGATTTTTTTTTGTGTTGTCATTTTTGGTGAAAATTTTACTCATTTATTTGTTGTAAGTTATATTTTTGTCCATTATGGAGCCTATGTCATATTAGTTTCCCTGCCGATTAACAAAGAAAATAAAACCGGAGCATAGTTTGCTCAATTCACTTTGAAGAGATATATTTATGACAAAGGTGGTTTGAAAACAGCATTTCCTACTGAGATATATCTGTACTAATTATAATGCTGAAGAGTTTGTTTATTTGCTTGAATGCGCTAATCACAGGAACTAAGTAAAGTAAGTAGACTTCTAATCTTTAGTTCCGAGTCTAAAGACAATACATATTATAAAAAACTAAACAAGCAAAAGGGAACGCAATAAAACCTTTGTACTTAATGAAGCTTTGTTTTATTTGTTGTGTATAATCGTCAACTTTTATGATACCTCCATAAATGTGCGAAGAACTAGTCCTTTGCATTAATCGTAAGTTTATTCCCAACAAAATATTTCTTACGATTAATGCAAAAGACTAGTTCTTCTTATTAACAACTAGTGGCCCACCCCCGCCTCGCACGGGTCCAACTATCTCGCTTTTCACTTTCACGGGTCACTTTTCCCTAAACTTCCCCTCTACTTTTCTAATATTTTCTTTGATAAGAACCTTCTCCTGACAATAACAAACACCACAAAAAAAGAATTAGCAAAATTGGTCCAGGCGTTATTGAGTTATGCGCTTACCAACACATTTTGCGATCCATTTTTATATATATAGATTAAATAACAATGTATGTTCTAACCTGTTGTAAAATTACCCCGAACGAAGGAAATTGTTCCACTGTCGGCAACACTACGCGGGTGGGAAGTGCGGCTGGCGGGGGGACTGAAGTATTGTTTTTGGACACATTAGACGACATACAAATATGAGAGAACGTGGGTTCTGGTTTGTTCTGTATTCTGAGGTGATACCACGGCCTCACAGAAAACCGGCGTGAATCAACCACAGAGTTGTGTTTCGCCGTGTGAGTGAGGTTACCGGAGGCCCAATCCTTCCCCTCCCCCAATCCCTCCTCAATCCCTAAATTTCGAAATCCCTAATCCCTAAAAGGTCGCAACGCACTCGCAACTCCTCCGTTGCGAGTGTCCATGGGCGGCGGTGATTGCTTGCTTACCATCAGGTAATCCGCTCGGCTCGTTTGCCGACCTATTAATTAAATAAAAAACAAAGTAAAAGGAGAATAATAAAAAAATAAAATACGGCGCGATTCAAGGTTTTTAGTTTGCACCGAAAGGGAGTCCAGCTCAGCATGTGTCAGGTATTACCCGACGCTGGTATCTGCTGGATCCCTGCAATGGGAATGCAAACATAAAAACATGCCCCATAAGCTTTTTCGGAAGCGTCAGTGAATATGTGCAGCTGTAAACGGGACGCAGATTCACAATATCCACCGAGATATCTTGAAGGTGAGAACTATTTTAGAAATGATTCCAAGCATACTGAATATGCGCGGGAGCAAGTTCACCCCAAAAACATTTAGCCAGCCATAGTTGCTGCATGATAGTTTGGGCTTCCAATATGCACGGACCGACTAGACCAACAGGATCAAGGATCATTGACGCTATGATTGACAACATGTGACGTTTAGTAGCCTTTTCAGTGATTTTTAAGGAAATAGAAAAAGAAAATGCGTCACTCGAGGGTTTCCATTGAAGCCCCAAAGTCTTCAACAGTTCGTCGTCGTCGCTCAGGGTCACAACGTCAGAATGCGAGAGTAGGTGACATGCGGGCGTCGGGGATCGAGAGATGATCTCCGGCCGCCGTAAGCGCGGGTATGCGGACGGCGAATAAGGGTAGCTCGCCGCCCGACCCGAGCATACGGCGCGTAGCGTTCCGCGCGCGCTTCGAAGAGCCAATAGGCCACCACAGACGGGGCCCTATAGGGCTGATGTTCAACCGGGGTTACGAGGCAAGCGCAATGAGGCACCGCAGCCACGGCCTAAAACAGGAGAAGGAACGGGGGTGTAGTAAGTAAGAGTGACATTCTCGCCTTATCCTGGGTAGGAGAAGTCATTTGATGATTTTATCCTGAAAAAAGAATACTCAGCTGCACCAGCGCTTGAATGGACCTGACTGGAATTGGACCGCCATTTCCGAAGATTGGCCTATAGGCCTTTTTTAAGTTTTTGAAACAGATGATCCACCGGACAGAAATCATCTACATAAATCACGAGCTATGGAAAACTTGTCGACGTATATGAGCACTCTTCACCCAGTTGAAGCAAACACCAAGTGACTAAAATTGGTTCCGATGCTGTGCCGTACGTAACCATGTTAAGGGTGCAGGTACTCCTTCAACAGATGACTTGGTTCGGCTCTCCAAAGGATTTTTTATAGAGGACGATTACTGTCGTGAACTAGAGTTGGTCGGTACATCTTTTCAATGTCAGCGCTGATGACTATTTTACGCTGACGGAAACGAAGTAGTATTGACAACTGATTTTGTGACGCGAGAATTTTATGTATAAGACTAGCGGCCCGCCCCCGCTTTTCACGGGTCCAACTATCTCGCTATCAAGGGGTCACTCTTCCTAATTTTCCCCTCTACTTTTCTAATATTTTCTTTAATAGGAACCTTCGCCTGACAATAACAAACACAACAAAAAAAGAATTAGCAAAATTGGTCCAGGCGGTGTTGAGTTATGCGCTTACCAACACATTTTGCGATCCATTTTTATAAAGAAGATTTAGACCTTGTATAATATGCTCTAGGAAAAGAATGAATTATCAATAGAGTCGAAATTTGGTAAGTATCAATGTGACCTTTACCGAGTTAAATGTACTTTCTAAGTTTATTTAAACATCTCTGACATACCGTGACGGAAAACATCGTGTGGTAACCTGGTCTAAGAAATTTTTTATTAAAGGTTTTAAGTCGCCAATCCGTCTTGGGCAACTTTGTGGTTAATGCCCATACCTTTACGGTGTGAGAAAAGGCTTTCTAGTTATAACTTTGAAATTGTCGATATGTGCTCAGTTGTTTCCGTGTAAAAAGAGTAATATTTGTATAGCGGGACATGGCGCGGATGGAAAGGCCGGGGCGAGCGAGGGCGGGGCCGCGGGAAGCGCTGGGAGCGCTGGGGGCGCGGGCCGGGGGGCCGGGCACCGCTGCGGCACGTGCGGGAAGTGCTTCAGTAGCCGCAGCCTGCTGGCGGAGCACCACAACGTGCACTCGGGGGCGCGGCCCTACCGCTGCACACTCTGCCACAAGGCCTTCGCCTCCAAGTACACGCACCAGGCACATCTCAAGACACATGCGGTCAGTAAGAGAGCAGTGCTTCTGATACTATGTTTTCCTAAAATTAAAATCAAAGTTAACCTCACTCAAAAGTATACAAAATGGATTTCTAAGAGCCTTAAAAACGCAATAAAAACTAAAAGAAATCTACGATTTAAATACTACTCTAAACCTAAAAGATTAGATGAGACATAAAATCCCTAAAAGATTCCACAGGCTATGATCAAAAAGTATGACCACTATAATCATAAAATTCATAGACCCTGCTACTATCCCAACTCTCGTACATCTAATTAATTAGTCACTATCAACAGGCGTGTTCCCGGACAACAAGATATCAGTAATTAAACCAATTAAAAGAAAGGGAATCAAAAAAATATTGACAATTATAGACCAATATTGTTTTGCTACTTATACTCGCAAATATTTACGAAAAAAATTGCATTCCAGGCTTACCATTTTTATTGAAAGATTTCGAATCCTAAGAAAAGAACAATATAGATATCAAAATAATTAATCGACAACCATGGCGGCATTTAATTTGATAAACCAAGCTTCTAAAAATATTGACTGCATAATTCCAAACAACTGTTATTTTCTTTGATATGTCTAAGGCCTTTGATTTTGTTTCTCATGACTTAATCCTGAAAATATGAGAAAAATATGGACTACGCGGCAAAGCAAATGGACGGATAAAAAGTTTCTTACAAAACGATCACAATTTGTAGAAATCAACGTAGATAAAACTAAACAAAGCAAACTTGCATATAAATCTAACTTGGGTCACAAAAAATACACAGGCGTTTCTCAGGGAAGTATTTTAGGTCCTCTACTATTCCTATTATACATTAAAAACCTAAATGGAAGATACAAATTATCCTTGCATACTTTTCGCAGATAATGTGTCAGTCATAATATCAAAGAATAACGAATATTACAACCAAGAAATAAATAACACTGTCAACAAAGATATGAGATAGTTGAATGGAGAATAATAACTTAAAACCTAATATAATAATGAGTTTCCTTTGATTTTAATCAGCATGAAACGCACTTTCTGTAGGTACAACTTTGATAATTGTAGGTTTTTAGTTTTTGAGAAAATCGAATTAGAGTGTCTAGGTAGGTAGCGAGTGGCTCGATTTATTTGCTGTCCAGTGTATATTCTTAACCATATCAAAAACTGTCATTGTTAAAATGTATTTATCCATATGTTCCCAGGTTCGACCCCGTCCGTTCAAATGCAATCAATGCGGCAAATCGTTCCTCACACAACAAAATCTCAATCAACATGAAAAGACTCATTCCGGGATCAAAGATTTCATCTGCAATATATGCAGTAAGTACTTTTACTAGCCCTATTATTATATGTATACACCTGAAGGTAAGCAATCGGCGCCGCCCATGGACACCCGCAACGCCAGAGGAGTTAAGAACGCGTTGCCTTCCTTTAAGGGATTGGAGGAGGGGAAGGCCTGGACCTCCGGTAACCTCACTCACACGGCGAAACACAGCGCTGTGGTTGTTTCACGCCGATTTTCTGTGAGGCTTCATTGGTATTCACCATACCCGAGGGAAATGTGGGCGAGCCATGCTGCGGCACGAATGGCTCGGCTCGCCCGGAATGATACCACGGCCTTACAGAAAACTGGCGTGAAACAACCACAGCGCTGTATTTCGTCGTGTGAGTGAGGTTACCGGAGACCCATACCTTTCCCCCTCCCCCCATCCCTTCCCAATCCTTAAATATCGGAAAACTTTATCCCTAAAACGTCGGCAATGCACTCGTAACTCCTTTGGTGTTGCGGTTGTCCATGGGCGGATTTCTTACCACTAGATAATCCGTCTGCTTGTTTGCCGACATATGTATGTCATAAAAAGTCATAAAATAGCATTCACATTAACATTAAAGAAGATGACTGGCATTGTAGACGAGATTAGTCATGAATTGCAGCGTTTTTCTATGAATTCGTGACTTTAAAACACACTCCATCCAAAACATTAAAAATATTGCCTCCGCTTCCAGACAAAGCATTCAGTACTCAGCACAACCTGGAAGTGCACGGCGTGGTCCACTCGGGGAACAAGGCCTTCGTCTGCACCGACTGTGGGAAGGCCTTCGCGCGCAGGGCAGAGCTCAGGGACCATATGCGGATACATACTGGTATGGAAACAAGATTTTACTTCTAAACTACAAAAGAGATTGGAGTTCCTAGTTGATAAAACTCCAACTATTTTTCATTTCATTGGGTCGGGTAGTTTTTGAGTGAGAAAGCGATGTCCCTGTCGGAACTATAGATATAGGGACCCCCCCCCCCCCTTGTTGCAGGCGAGCGTCCGTTCTCGTGCGAGGAGTGCGGCGCGAGGTTCACTCAGCGCTCGAACCTGCACTCCCACCGCCGCGCCACGCACTACAACGACACCAGGCACCACTGTACCCTCTGTCCCAAGAAGTTCAAGCGGAGGAGGTGCGTATTTACTCACTTACTTAATTTACCACCGCCACTCTACACGCGGGTGTGATATACCCTCTGCTACATTGTAATGTATCAACTGCTGAGCGCTTGTGACCTATCTACACCTTTTTACTTATAATACCACTAGCTATTCTCGCTCGGTTTTACCCGCTGCTCGGCTCCATTTAATCGTAGCGTGATGTTTTATAGCCTATAGGACTCAGGAACATTGTAGCTATCTATCAGTGAAAGAATTTTGGTAATCCGACCAGCGGTTCCAAGGATTACCCCCTACATACAAACTTAAAAATTTTACCTCTTTATAATATTAGTATGGATTGGGTAGAGCCTATTGCTTACCATCAGGTAATCGGTCAGCTCGTTTGCAGACCTATCTCATAGAAAAACAAGTGGACTCTTGTGGTGATATCTAACAAGACGAAATTCTGTAGAAGAATCGTTTGCTGCATAAAGAAATATTTAGAAGCTGATGATGATGATGATATCTGGTCCCAGGTTACTAGAGTACCACATAAAGGCGACGCACACGGGCGAGCGTCCCCTGAAGTGCAACGTGTGCCAACTGTCCTTCGTGTACCCCGAGCATTACAAGAAACATGTCCGCATACACTCCGGGGAGAGGCCCTACGTCTGCGAGGTAACTATACTGTTATAGGGCTTCTTAAGGGGGAGGAAAGATCTACAAAGTACTTCTGGGACCCTGGATAGGGCGAGAGGGAGTGTCAGACTCTTACTGACTTGAGACACCGCGGCCTCGGCCTAGAG